GGTAATAACCATAATCAATAGTAGTATCGAATTGTTTAAAGGTATAGACCAGATTTGGAAACGCCCCCCCCCCCCCCCTCTCAAAAAATGAAATGGAAGCTCTTATTACCAATCATGTGAAAGAATATGTTTTGACTATAAAATAGTGATGATATAAATTTTGCCGGGAAACCGCCTACTAATTGATATATTTGGTAAATTATTATATCTATCCGGACTGGATAGATATCGCGTAGTCCCGTATACATCTTTCTGTGTATAGTGCTTGTAACTTTACCAAGACCGGGTCACATTTCTTATCATTTTGATGATTCCAGAACCTTGCAGTACACACCAATACTTAGATTTTTCTATTTCTATTCTGCTACTTGTCAAAGCCTGTTCAGCATCTAGACAAGGGTGATCTTCTGCCGACGGTGGACGGCTTGTGTGAATTTGTGCCGAAATATATACATGTTTATGGTGCAAGTAAAAATGATAAAAATGATAAAAAATAATGATGATGCTGTGACTATTCGCAGCTGATGGCTTCCTTGAACTGCTTCAATGTGGGCAGCTCAATGATATTGAGATGATCAATCTTTTCTGATTGATTCCACAACGTTTCTTTCACAATGCAATCGCTTGACCAGAACTGGTCTATACCTTTAATCCCTGTATCAGTATGAATATTGCTTGTCTTGTGGGCCTTGCTATTACCAGTATCCCAGCATTACCATGCACTCATTTAATACGCCTTGGACTAGAGGGGCAAATGAGGCAAAATACCTTTGTTTCAAGGATGTATAAGTACCAACCAAAGATCGTACCCGGGACTTCTTGTATGAGAGTCAGGAGTCAAAGAGTTTACACCACTGGGACAAAGTTCGAAAGTGAATAACCAAAGACAAAATTGACCTTGAGATGTGTAAGATCACAAACTTTCCGGACGATATTGAATGAAAAGGGTGTGAAAAAGTTGAATTTTAAGAATATTAAAATGGACGGGAAAACCTACAATAACATAGTCAAGAAGATAGAGATTTTAACTCACATATCCCTGGATTATCTTACTATTACAGTGATCTTCCCTATACGTGCAGGCACGAGTACGTATATATATATATATATATATATATATATATATATATATATATATATATATATATTATTTTAATACGCCATATGAATCAATTTCGCAGTCTATCTCACATCAAAGGTATACAGCACTTGTGAGTTCAATTACCAGTTAGGAAACTTTGTAGGTCAGAGTTCGGATAGACAGGAGGAGTAAGAAGGTCGACATGCCGAACCAGTATTGTCCTGTCTACCTTTGAGAATAGAGACTCTTAAACCTTTGCCCAGCAAATAAATGATATACTGGTATGCAGTGGCGGATAGTGGGGGTGGGGGGGGGGGGGTGGGGAGGGGGACACAAACGTTTTTTGTTCCGTGGATACGCCCGTGCTGGGATGTTTTATTTGCCACCTTCAGCTTTCTGTTCTATTGACGAAAATAATAGGTGTATAACGCCCTCTTAGGGCTGATGCTGGACAATCCGTCGCTTATTAATTTGGTTTGCTGCAATCATATTTGCTCCAGGCTTGCAGAACAAGTTTGTAAATTGTTCCGAAAAAATGAATTCAAACGTAAGTTTTAGCGAGCAATTGGTCTGTCACACCATGCAGAGATCTGAATTAGTTCACCAATCAATGATTACGTAATGTCTCTAATTAAATGACCTCGTCCAATCCGCGCGCCAATTTTCTTTGATTATGTCTCCACGATACTTTGCTAATGACTTCGTACTCGCCACTCTTGTGGGGTGTGTCACGCAGCAGTGTCCAATCATAATGCTACATGAAAGCCTTGTGTCTTGCGAATTAAATCGCATTTGTTGCTACAGAAGTGGCGGGATTGAAATTACGGTAATTATGCCTTGCGGAGATTTCCCCAACTTGACGAAGATTGCCATCCCGTCAAGAGTTCATAATTTTCTATCATATACTAAACAACATTATGAGTAACAGAAAGTAGATGCATGCACTCTTCAAGAAGGTTATAGCGTTGTTCAGACCTTACATTTTCAATTACGCGGAAATTAGATACTTGTTCAATCAGGGAGGCCGTATACCTGAATATAAACTTTTCTGCAAAAGCAGCAAAGATCGTGATTGAAAAAAGAAAGAAATCAAAATAAACTATTGATTGGTCTCGCTGAACTAAGTGATGCAATCACGATAGTGATTATTAGAAGAGTGATTGTCATGACAATGATAATAGTTATGAAAGCAACCTCAGTGATGACGATGATTATTACTTATAATTTGATGGATAAGTGGTATGTTAATTGTTACTGTTAAAGTTGTGGTGATGGATGATGGTGGTTGTGATGATGCTGATGATGATGATGATGAAGTAGATTGAATAAGAAGAAAAAGAAGAAGAAGAAGAAGAAGAAGAAGAAGAAGAAGAAGAAGAAGAAGAAGATGATGATGATGATGATGATGATGATGATGGTGATGATGATGATGATGATGACGATGATGATGATGATGATGATGACGATGATGATGATGATGATGATGATGACGATGATGATGATGATGCTGATAATGGTGATGATGATGACGATGATGATGATGATGATGATGATGCTGATAATGGTGATGATGATGACGATGATGATGATGATGATGATGATAATGGTGATGATGATGACGATGATGATGATGATGATGATGATAATGGTGATGATGATGACGATGATGATGATGAGGACATTTTCTTAAATAATTTAAATTCTGAAGAAGAGCAAATCTTTATAATCAACAGCCAATTAATAATTATGAACCCCCTGCAATTTCTTTACTTTATATTATTACCTTAGTTTGCGAGGATAACGAGGGACATTGTCAAGACTGGGCCAGACGCGGAGAATGTGAGATCAACCCGACCTGGATGCGTCCTAACTGTAGAAGATCATGCAATGCGTGTGATGGTGAGATATATTCCTTTCTCTCTCATTCAGTTCACCAGTCACGTCCTGTGGCATGAGTGTTTGTTTATCCCACCGCTGCCAACATGCAAAATAATGTAGGATAATTATTGATCACCTCTTGTCGTCTATACGAATTGACTGCTTTGTTTTCTTTAAACTCGGGCTGAGCACTTGTTTTACCATGTTTCTCAAATTGTACGGTCTCGCATGCTATCATTATCTTTTAAATTTTCAATATTATTTGCATTTTCAATGAAACTTATTTTACCTTCATTAAGGGTGGTCGTCTCGACAAATCCTCATGCTCTATATTGTGTAGTTAACTTATGTATCGCTTATTTTGTACTCTTGATCGATTTATACTCTTATTCTGTCATGATTGTATTCTGTTTTGTAAATTTTATTGGAATTGAATAAACGTAATTGAATTGAATCATGTTCGTACAACTTCTTTAGAAAAATCAACCTAAAGGAATTTCAGTAGCCTTTTTAGGCAACGCCACTTATTGAAATGTTCGAATATGACTATGAAATTATACAATCGGGTATTGGTATTGACCGAGAGTTGATTTTTTGTTCGTATATATAGTTGCGTGCATGCGACCCGTCTGCAGAAGATGATGCAATGCACGCGATGGTAAGATGAGATATTTCAAGTAATTTAAATATCATGGGTTCATATCCTGCCGCTGCCGCCAAGTCATGCTAATTCAACACATTTTGTGATTCGATTGGACGAAAACGTACATAGCTGTGGCTTGGAACTTGTGTAAATATTATCTTCCTCTTCCTCTTCTTTCTCTTCTTCTTCTTCTTCTTCTTCTTCTTCTTCTCCTTCTTCTTATTCTTCTTCTTCTTCTTCTTCTTCTTCTTCTTCTTCTTCTTCTTCTTCTTCTTCTTTTTTCTTCTTCTTCTTCTTCTTCTTCTTCTTCTTCTTCTTCTTCTTCTTCTTCTTATTCTTCTTCTTCTTCTTATTCTTCTTTTTCTTCTTCTTCTTCTTCTTCTTCTTCTTCTTCTTCTTCTTCTTCTTCTTCTTCTTTTCTTCTTCTTCTTCTTCTTCTTCTTCTTCTTCTTCTTCTTCTTTTTTCTTCTTCTTCTTCTTCTTCTTCTTCTTCTTCTTCTTCTTCTTCTTCTTCTTCTTCTTCTTATTCTTCTTCTTATTATTATTCTTCTTCTTCGTCCTCTCCTTCTTCCTCTTCTTCTTCCTCTTCTTCTTTCCCTTCTCTTTCCCCTTCTACTTCCTCTTCCTCTTCTGCTTCTCCTTTTTCTTCTTTCTCTTCTCTTTCTTCTTCCTCTCCTTCTTCCTCTTCTTCTTCTTCTTCTGTTCCTTTTCTTTTCTAATGAATCACATTTTTAGTCTGAGATATGTAAACCTTTACTCTTGATCACCAGTCCTACTTAGTTTTAAACCACGTTCTTCCCGGATACAAGTCTCTGTTTATTGAGCCTTGGCATTTTCATTTCTTTCATTTCTTTCAATGATTCATTCCTTCAGTCTTTCATGTATTTCTCTTTCTTGTCAGATGACCCTGATTGTTACGACAGCAGCAACAACTGTGAAGAATGGGCCACCGACGGAGAATGTGGTAAGAATGTGAGCTACATGGAGACCCATTGCAGAATGAGCTGCGGTCTATGCTAAAGCAGCTTCATTTCCGACGAAAAAACACATTCAAACCTGCTCTAACGACCACCTGTATAGAAAGACCACCTGTCTACAAAGACCACATTTTTGATTTCCCTTGAAAATGGATTCTCATTGGAACATGTACTAAAGGAACCTGTATATAAAGTCCACCTGCTTATAAAAGACCAATTTTCTTATCTCCCTTAAATTGTTGGTGGTCTTTATAGACAGGTTTTAAAGTACTAACAAATATGGGCAGGGATATGTTTATTTCACATCATCACAATATCATCTATAACGTATTTACAAAAAACAAAACATACAGAGATTAATTGCGAAATTATAAAAAGATTGAGACTATGTGTTAGATCACATTGATGCATACAATATCTTTGTAATTGTTTTTCAATTAAAAAACATGTTTGTATGTGTTGCAAAGGGAACTTTTGAAAATATTATTCTTGTATAAACATAGCACTTTTGAAAATGACATTCCTGTAGACCCTGTGTTTACTCTATGTTGTATCAAGGAGGATATTACTAAGTCCGAGCATCGTTATATTAATTTCAAAGTCCGGTGATTACATTGTCTCCTGTAACCCAAAATGCATTATAATTTAAAACGAAATGAGGTCTACAAGAAAGTCTGTTAAGAAATTAATTTCAAACAAGCCATGTACAGCGAATTTCAAGTAAATTTAAATTGTATAATGAATTTCAGTTCGCGTGTGCAGCATTGTGTTTGACCTAGTGTATACAAATTTGCTTTTAGGCTCTTTACAATTTGTAATGATGTTATGTAGAGGTTCGCAAACAATTTTGTCTGTATTTCATTGTATAAGTTACTACTCAATGATACAAATTGAAGGGGAACAAAAGAAGTTCCAAAAAAGCTGCCTTACAAGTACTGCAAAAAATCGTGGATGTGTTTCATGAATACATATTGTTTGCCCTCTTAAGATGAATACTTCCACCTGTGTTCCTAGTTATAGAATTCACCGTCGGTGCACAAATGATTGCACAACTGTCATGAGCACATATCCAGTATTTATCTCTGTGGTTTTTACAGTTTTGGTACAAATGAATTTTATCTGCCCATGTGCAGACTGTATCTACGAATTGGCTTATTTTGCCATTAAAGAAATCATTGATGCGTTCGTAGATCCGGACACAGCCATCTATACACAGAGTTTGGCCAACCCGGTTCGAGTTGGACACAATTATGGCGACTACTGCTTTGTTGGGCAAGCACAAAACAAAAGAATATACGCCATGTTGTGACCCAGTGAAACCAAGTTGGCCAAACTCTGTATATAGATGGCTCTAGATCCGGGGCCGAAAGAGCACCTTCCCTTGTTAAAAGTTTTGTTTTTCTTCAGGATAATAATTCTTTGGGGAAACTCTTCCTACAGGAACATTGTCTGTAAGATTATGTCGTATATTTTCAGGATAAATCATTTTGAAAATAAGACTTTTTAATCATCCAAAATGTACATTGTTGTATTTTTCAAAAGAAAGAACCCATTATTTGATGTTTGCATATTGACAATTTATCGTTTCTTTTTGTATGCATGTATAGTGTTTTTACTTGTTTAATAGCCTATTGAATGTTTGAAGAATGGTATGAGAATCGAACAATTTGTTTTTGCAACAATTTTGGTCTGGTTGACGTTTCTTTCTTCTTACTCTAATAAATGTTTCGAGTGATACATGCATACATGTAGTTCCTCTTGAATAAAATAACATATTTATGCTGCCAATGATTTTTCAAAGACAATGTATTATTATCTATATAAGGCTTCAAAGTGGTACAATAAAGCAATGTATTTAATATCTTTAGCGCAGTAATATAATAATACTACTAATAATACTATAGCATTTTGTTAAGCGCCATCGATCTAGTAAAATATTCTGAGGCACAGAGGGAAATTATTACCCTGGCTTTAGCAGTACCCGGATGACAGATCAATATTGTTTTCGTATTGCTCTGTCATCTGGGAACTTCAACTGTCGATACACCGAGATAAGTCAAATGTTGTTTTTTCTTTAGTCTGCCTGATAATGATAATAATAATAATAATAAGAATAATAATAATAATAATAATAATAATAATAACAATAATAATAATAATAATAATAATAATAATGATAATATTGTATGGCTTTGTTTTCGTGTGATACAATAATATACTGCCCTTGCTATGACAATATATTCTTGTATCACTGTCGAAGCCATCCAATATTATATGAATATTTCGATTATTTTCCAACTTACCCTCAGTGTAAATAATAAATGAGAAAATAATTTTTGAAAAATAAACATCGGAGTATTGATATTTATTCTTTTTCTGACTTTTTGTTTGAATATTCAATTTTGTTTTCTATTCTTTGATATCTTCACTTCTTTTCCCTCTCCTTTTTTTCTTCGTTTTTTTTTCATTCCCACATTTTTACAATATACTTGATGAGGTTGACATGATATCCTCTATTTCCTCTAACATCAAATTTTTCTCTCGTTTGTCTTTTACCAATTTATTTCAGGATCTTTATTTTGGCTTTTCGCCCCTTTTTGTCACAATACAATGAAGTAGAAAATCAAAAGAGAAAACTTTTTTCACTTCCCTCTCCTTCAAACCTCTTTCTCTAAAGTTGATGCCTACAAGACGGCCATCAACTACCTCAAATCGCTCTTTCTCTCCATCTCTTCTTGCGTCTCATCGTCTCTCTCCTTTAGTTCTTAATATCTCTTTTTCTTTTCCTCCATTCATCCCACTCTCCTGCCCTCATTCTCATCACTTCCTTCCCTCTTTTTCAGTCTCCCCTTCCCTCTCCTTCTTCCTCATCACATCTCTCTCTCTCGCTCTCTTTCTTCCTCCCTCCCTTATCATCTCTCGCTCTCTTTCTTCCTCCCTCCCTTATCATCCCTCGCTCTCTTTCTTCCTCCCTTATCATCTCTCGCTCTCTTTCCTATTCCCTCCCTTATCATCTCTCGCTCTCTTTCCTCCTCCCTCCCTTATCATCTCTCGCTCTCTTTCCTCCTCCCTCCCTTATCATCTCTCGCTCTCTTTCCTATTCCCTCCCTTATCATCTCTCGCTCTCTCCCATTATCTCCCCCTCTCTCTCTCACTTACTTCCACTCCTTCAAACCACTTTCTCTAGAGTTGATGCCTACAAGACGGCCATCAACTACCTCAAATCGCTCTTTCTTTCCCTCTCTTCTTGTTGTCCATCGTCTCTCTCCTTTGTTCTTACTCTCTATTTCTCTCCCTCTCTTTCTTTTCCTCCATTCATCCCACTCTCCCGCCCTTATTCTCATCACTTTCTTACAAATGTACTTTCCTCCCTCTCTAACAGTCTCCCCTCCCTCCTCCTCATCACATCTCTCCCTTTCTTTCAGTATCCCCTCCCCTCCTTTTTCCACATGACATCTCTCTCTCTCCCTCTCTTTCTTTTCCTCCATTCATCCCACTTTCCCGCCCTCATTCTCATCACTTTCTCACTTCTCTCCCTCTTTCAGTCTCCCCTCCTTCCTCCTCATCACATCTCTCCCTCTCTCTCTCAGTCTCCCCCTCCTTCCTCCTCATCACTCTCTTTCTTTCTTCCTCCCTCGCTTATCATCATCTCTCGCTCTCTCCCATTATCTCTTCCCCTCCCCCCTCTCACTCACTTGCTTTCACTCCTTCCCACCTCTCTCTTGTTTCCATTCATTCTCGGCCACTCTATTTAACATTTTGCTTTCACCATTCACTAGTCTGCCTGAATGACACACAATGACTGCAAACTAAACAAGTGTGTACGTTTTAGTGCCGTGTTGTCATCTTTTAAAACACCGAGAACAAAAGGTTAACATAGGTACTTTCATTTACAAGTCTTTACATTGTTTTCCTATTGATCGATCATACATGTACAGCCCCAATAACTTACAAAAAATAATAAAAAAACGCCGTGCTACTGTCTATGTACACACATTTTAATATAAAATGTTTAACTCCTACACTACTAAGAGCAACATTAAAACAAAAGAGGAATAAATTACACTGTAAGTGATCAGATAATATAGATTCAGAAGTTGGTTGGAATATTGAATATGATGCAGAAGACTAAAAACTAATATGATGGAAAGGATTGAAAAATTAAGAGTTTCTTCTTACCCATTCATTAACTTAAATCTGAACCTGTTCAGCAAGATAGCTATGACTGTAGCACAACTACTCCCTGAGTTACCCCACCCCCCCCCCCTATCCTTAGAAGTAAGTTGTCCCATACATTGTTGTCCAGATTTGGTAGTCATAGGATCCACTAGATTTTGTTTTAACTTGGGAGTATGATAAAAGCTAATTCGCACAATCACAATGTTAAAGAGAGCAAAAGTAAAAAGTGACTTCTAATTTTTTTAAATACACTTGAAAAGTTTATAACAACCAAAATATTGGCACCTCTTTCTCCAGTTTTTCTTTTACCAGACCATAATATACATAGAAAATGCCCTTCTTAACTTATCTTCCTACATGTACACGAACATCTACTAGAATAAAAAATCTGCTGTTTTTTAGCATTACTGAAGCAATTAAAAAGAAAAACACATGTGTTTCTGCGAATGTCTTCATATGTCATTTAAAATCACACCAAATAATGATAAAAGACCAACAATATACAAGCAAGGAAGATAAAAATGATGGAATTAAAATGCATCCGCAAATACCTGTACATACACTATGCAAAGCCTCTATATTTGCTGATGTGATAAAAGCAATTCTAATATAATTACCAATTGCATAATAAACATAAAATTGACATTGCATTGGAATACAATTAATAGTGACTGTACATGCACACAACGAAACACATACATCCAGAAAATAACTTGAGGAATCCACTCCAAAGTCAAATCATTAAAACAAGGTACACACAATTTCTTATAACAGTATGATCTTGAACATTTCATGTACCACACTTTAAAAATTCTCCAATTTGACCAGCCTTATTTAGACCTGCTAATTCAGAGATCTCAATAATTAAATATTGGCATGACTACATGGATCTGTTTTACTCGCAATTTAGCTATTCACGTACATGTACATGAAGTTATTCAAGAAGAAGTACATGAAGTTCAGGCAACATGTATTTATACAAAGCAACCAACTTGAAGCTTGGTCTGACTCTAAGGAAATTTTAAGTATTGTTGAGAACTTTAAAGAAAACCACAATTTACATAATACTGGCCCATGTTCTACTAGTACATTCAAATTTAATCAAAGGCAAAAGTATGGGTAACACCTTAATCTTAGTTTACCTTCTGTCAACCATGCCTTTTGTCCAATGTCAGGTTCTACTGAATTAGTAGAATGCAAATTACTTTTTTAGTTTCATTCTGAAACTATGGGTTTCCATTTGATGAGAAATGATTAAGAACATGTAACAACATGGTTGTTGGCAGGGCTTGACACTAATGTAACAACAATCTAGATACTGGTACAGCCCCCCCCCCTCAAATTACAAGATTTTTACACAAGGCTCATGCATACCGATTCTGAACAGTAACTTAAATCAAGATCCCCTTCCAAAATGTGAAGGTGGACCCCTGTTATTGGGATTATCAAAATTCTTGAACATTGTACAATCTCTTTGGAAATCACACAAAAAAAGCACCATACAGTGTATACCGGTACATGTATCAGTTATGGATATTTGTTAGGTCATCAGAAAAAGAAAAGAAATTTTCACCATAAACAATAATACTCATGTTATATTGCAGAGACATTTTACCGCATAATCATTTTGTTTTATGACACAGAAATAATACGGAGCACGTTCTATTTACACAAAAATGTATACGTCAAACAGTACTCAATCCACGTATTACCTTTACTAGCAATTATACATTTGGCACATTTGCTATTGCTGAGGTGCATTTTTCTTTTTTTCTTCCTACAGCCTTCTACTAAAACATTGTAAAAAAATCTCAGATTTAGAGAGAAAACAGCATCTACGGAAAAAATAAATATTTATGTAGAACCAATACCACAGTTAACTGTATCAATCTACATATACCACTCAAATACACACTTTGTTTTGAATTATACTTGTTTTCATGGAAAGGTTGAACTACTGCTTTTTTGTGTTTCAAGCAACCTTATATCGTCCTTGTTTTCACGAAGTGACGGTAGTGAGGAAAATCGTCACGCAAAGTGAATGCAATTTGTTTTCACTACCGTCACTTCCTGAAAACAGCGACGATATGAAGCCATTCATGACTCTGAATGACAACAACATTGCTGTCATTCAGAGTCCTGTATGGCTTTATATAAGGTTGCTGAATATGCCTGAAGTTAAGTTGTTTTTTTCCCTTCAAAATCCTTGCACTCCTACTCGAAATGAATATTATCTTCAAGTATGCATGTCACATTAAAGATAAACTTGAGTTCTGGTAAAAAAAGAAAATGAATTCTCACAGAATCTAACGAAACTTACACTGAATGTTCAAGATTACAAATAAATGTCATGTGCCAAACAATTTTGGAAGAAAATGTATACTGGCTGAGAAATGAGCATAAAAAGATAAGGAAATCAGGGTAGTACTAGCCCCGACACCATGTGTGTTGTCCCATATATATCTTTCTGTGTAAGTGATTGTTACTTTACCAAGGCTCTGTCAAATTTATGATGATTTTGATGACTCCAGAACCTTGCATTACACACCATTACTTACATGCTATATGATCAACTTTTCTGATCCATTCCACACCTTTTCTTTCACAATGCAATCGCATTACCAGAACTCAAGTTTATCTTTAAACTATATACACGCCATGTACATGAACCTGCACGCCCACATTTACATGTGCCTTCAGTTAAATGTACTACTGTATGTAAATGTTATGATCACCTTGGCATGTACAACATGGCTGTCCATTATATTACAAACGTGTAGTCATGTACATGTGCATTAGTTGCAAACGTTTAAAGGTAAAGACCAGTATTGGAAACGCCCCAATTTCAAAAAATGAAATGGAAGCTCTCATTACCAATCATGTGAAAGAATATGTTTTGACTAATACATGATGATAAAAAAATTGCCGGGAAACCGCCTACTAATTCATATATTTGGTAAATTTGTTTCTCTCATGGTCTGTGAGAGATATAGGGTAGTCCCATATACAACTTTCTGTGTATAGTGCTTGTAACTTTACGAAGAATGGGCCAAATTTCTTATCATTTTGATGATTCCAGAACCTTGCAGATGCTAGATGCTAGATGATCAACCTTTTCTGATCGATTCCACAACGTTTCTTTCACAATGCAATCGCATGACCATAACTGGTCTTTACCTTTAAACTAATTGACAAAATTTGGACCTACTGTACCTACACAGGTATTTACTTCATTTCAGTGCGATCTAAATCTAGTAGTGCTTCACATCAAATTGCATAGCTCCGATGTGCAGCTGTTTGATGAATGGAAATTCACATTTTCACCTAAAAATCACACAAGCTTACACTTTGTACACTGAAATAAAATATATTTAAAAAACAAAACAACAGACAATATACTGTACATGAACGTTGATGTCACACCCATATGCCCTACAATAATTCTCTGCCTTTTAGAATTTGCTTGTAACACGGAATGAATCTATAATATATGCATAATATCATCAATACAGTAAGATAGCAATACATGTCATAAAGACCAATAAAAGAAGACTTCCTGATTTGCAAAAGTTAAAAGCACATTCAAAACATTTCACAAGGTAAACATCACATACATTGTAAGAATAGCTGATGATAAAACCATTTGTATGGATTACAATTTATTTTGAATCGTACTACATCATCATAATCCATATACAAATTAACATAAATATCTAATATTTATCAATCCTGTTTTAGTTGTCTTCTTGTTTTATATTGAACAACTTGTTTTTACTCTAGATGTCCATGGAATGTTCTTATTTGTACAGCAACCCTCAATTGTAAGTTTTTTTTCATCCCCACATTTCCACAATAAACTCGATTAGGTTGAGATAATATCCTCTATTCAACAGAACCTCGTGCGGAAAATTTTCTCCTGATTGTCCTTACACATTTGTTTCAGGATCCCTATTTGGGCTTTCTGCCCCTTTTTATCACAACACCTGTATAATAAAACAGAAAATCAAAAAACAAAAACCACTGAAATTAGCAAAAGTCCTATCAAATCATTAAACCTGATGTAAAAAAAAAATTAAAAAATATTGCACAGTATGTGTATAAATCAAACCACCATAAAGGAAATAGGATGAATTTTCTACTGTATTTTCAATTTCTTTTCTTATACTGAATACCGACTCTCAACACACAGGCAATGCAACATGTAACAGTGTAGTACCTGACAGGCAAAAGTACGCAAAGAATCTTATAATCTTTATATTTCTTTCATCTTATTTTTTAATAAACACTTTAACACATGTACTGTTTTGAACACTGGGGAAGAAATTTGTTACTTTGCTTGTAACTTTAAATAAACTTAATTTTTCACAAGAGTAACAAGCACATAAAATTATTTTGCAGCATGGTCTTATGTTGTCATGATTGTGTTATTAGTGCTTACACAATGTACATGTCTAGATGTACAATTAACTTACAAGGTCCCTTGCTTTTCGATCTATTAACAACTGGAACGGGCTACCCCAATCGACAGTCCAAGCGCCATCTATCAAACAGCTTTAAATCTGAACTTGAAACTCATTGGCGTCACCCTCCAGTCTCAACTATACCCCTTATCAACGTAAATAGTGTTGTGATTGTCAAGATGGGCTCATAAGTTGATACTAAAAGCCTCAGCAACTTAGAAATACACCAAGTAAGTAATATAAATCTTAAAAATTATTGATAAAGCTGAAGCTTGGAAATCACTTTACAATCCTCACAGACTTGGTGTGAACAAAATTACTGTTGTGTATATTTGAGTTCTATGCTATCTCAACTTCTTTTAATCACAAGGATAAACAGAAACAAATTTGCTTTTGAGTTTTTGACCATTTTGCAATGTAGAGAGAATGCTCCACTATTTTCAGTTTTCCATAAATGCCAACAGGTACAAAGTAAAAACAGTTTATGACCATTTGATCAGTACAGTATATGGATTCTTTTTGGTATCTACAGTATGTAATGATACTTTACAGATTCAGACATCTCAGTACCAAATTGGAACCATATGGTGTATAAACAAACTATGGCAGAGTTTAGAGTGTACACTTTTCCATTTCAACTGGTAGTGCAGAACATTGTCTTGTCAACTCTTGGCATTAAATAACACATCATTACTCCAAAGTGTGATGCAATATGAACATTTTACACGTACAGTACATTGTATTTCTATATTACTTCCCATTCATACAAGGTATACATTGTAGATTGATCTATAAGTGTATGAATGTATGGAATACATGTAGCCTACTATACATGTACATGTACATGTAACTTGAACAGACGAGGAGCTGGGGGAAATGGCAAAGGGGGAAACTTTTTTATAAAATAAAAAAAAGTTTATGATTCCTTGATTACCCTTTTTGTACAAGTCCATTTTGTGATGAAGATTACATGCACCATTGTAGTCTGAAAGTACCTGTTTGAAGAGACTTTTTTGTAGGGTACAGTTATTTTACTTCTCAGAGTGGACCTGTTCTCATTCTGATAGCTTTAGTGTTCATTATGAGCAGTTATTTTGTCAGTTCTTTCCTCATCTAATACAAAAAAGGGATTGTACACACAAAACAAATATCCGAGCAAACCAACATCAAAGGAAAGGGATCAAATATATGGTTAATATACATTTTTACACTACTCACTGACCATGTTTATTTTTAAACACATAATAAATGGGAATCAAATCCATTCATATTTGAGTTACACTATTTTCAAGGAAATCTCAGGTAATCTTAAGGCTCATTGATTGGTTTACCTCGACCTTTGCCTCCATAGAAGGCAGACACACCTCCAGGACCCTGAGGACTTCGTACAATACCTGCAGCACCTGCCATCTGACGCCGCCCAAGCATGGGACTTCCACAGGGGCTGGTACCGGCTGCCAAAGGGCTCTTATCTTGGCTGGCAAGGAGCATGCGACGACGGATCCATGGACTGGAATTACTGCTGTCGGAGTGGTCACCACCACCGCTGCCTCTTCGGTCATACTCATAGTTCTTACGGCTCATCTCCGGGCTGCACTTGGGGCTACCCTTGGGGCTGTTGCGAACACCCGGAACTACAAGGGGCGATTTCCCATGCTTGCGTTGGCTGCGTGGACTACCATGGGGGCTGGGGCAGGGGCTGGATTTAGGGGTGGTCGAAGGACTCAGATGGTTGGGACTTCGGTGTTGCTGAATGGAAATGGGCTTGCTTACGCTTTTGTGCTCTGAAGGATTGTCAACATCTGATGAGCTTGGGGTCCCAGTCACCCCGCTCCCATCACATGATAGCTCATCCAGTCGATTGCTATTCCTCTTCTTCTTACGACGGCGTTTCTTCTTCTTAGCATCCCCATCTCCATCTACCGAGGCAGCATCGTCAGCTTGCTGAGGGGATAGACCCTCCCTATGAGACTTTCGTTCCTTCTTCTCCTTCTGCTTTGGCCTGTTAATGAGTAGAGAGACATGCAGACCAAAACGCCAATTATCTTCATCGTTCATTGACTTAGCCGCCTTGTGAGCTGACTCTGTCTTTTCAAACTCAATCAGGGCACAAGCTTTCTTCTGGCTGTACGCAGCGTGTGTTTCCATTTGTTTGCGCACATCTTGGGGAATAGGGTTTCCAGGTCTTATGATTCGTATAAGAGAAATTTCACCGCAGGTCTGAAATAAGTGAGAAATCTTTTCCACCGAGGGATTTTCCATTGGCAGATTTACAGCGACCACTGTACGAGAGTTTGAGGTCTCATCGTACTCTGGTAAGGGAGCCTTTCGTTTGACTTTTGTTCCTTCATTGTTCACTATTAGTTGCTCAGATTGTTGAAGACTATATCTCACCGACTTCCAGTCCTTCGACAAGCCTCGTACCTTCTTGAATGAAGCGATCAATTTGATGCTGACGAATCCCTGCTTGTTTCGTCGCACATGTTTCAGTAAGAATGCATCTTTCACGATGTTGGTATCGGAAAAGTAGAATTCGACCTGCTTGACAATCTTTTCAACTAAATCAGCATCAGGAGGTTTCCAATCTTTCAAGGGTGATGACTCTTCATTTTGATTGTCATCTCCCTGATCCGATTTTGCACCATCAATTTCATCAGCAAGCTGCAATCCCTCATCATGCTCATCACTACTTCTAGCATCAGAACTGTCATCCCCACTTTCTTCAAGCCCTGACCCATCTGCCTCGGATGGTCTGGATATGTGCACTACTGGTGGAGGGGGTATCGGGGGTAGATTCGCCCGGTCACTGCCATTTGGACTCTGGCCTGCTCCGGAGCGAGAACGCTCATCCGATTTGACTGCGTGGGACTGGACGGTCCCACCTGCTGGATCAGTGTGGCCCGAAGTGCCGTTTTCCATCTTTTCGATCAATTTTACTTGACTCATCTTCGACTAGAAGGTCGGCTACAATCTCCCAAACGTGATGATTTCAGTTTTATTTGCCGTTATTCCGATCAAACGCCAGAAAAACGCACAAGATGGTGACGGGCCACACAAACGTACACTAAATTTATGCACGCCACAGCTCAAGTATTCATTACGCAAGGTCGCTATGCGATTGCGATGATACTCATGTACTTCAACGCAGCGAAATACTAGCTCTATTATGTACATTTATACTGTCAACTTCGTACTATATTGACCATCAAATACGATATCTACGTTTTATGACCCCGAATATACTGGACTTTATTTTTCTACTACTCGATTTGCACATCCATAATTTGTAAAAATTTCTAGGAGGGGGAGGAGGAGGAGGAGGAGGAGGAGAAGGACGAGAAGATTTTAATTTTTATTGAATAAAATACGGATGGATCCCCGCTCATGTATAAGCCATTATACATCACAGCTGTGCTTCTGAAAGGTAACAAAATAAGAAAAAAAGAAAGTTGGAAAAAATTAAGAGCCGAAGAAGAAGAAGAAGATCGAGAAGAAGAAGAAGAAGAAGAAGAAGAAGAAGAAGAAGAAGAAGAAGAAGAAGAAGAAGAAGAAGAAGAAGAAGAAGAAGAAGAAGGAGAAGAAGAAGAAGAAGAAGAAGAAGAAGAAGAAGAAGAAGAAGAAGAAGAAGAAGAAGAAGAAAAAGAAGAAGAAGGAAAAGAAGAAGAAGAAGAAGAAGAAGAAGAAAAAAGTAAAAGAAAAAGAAGAAAAAAAAGAAGAGGATCAGAAGAAGAAAAAGAAGAAGAAAAAAAAAAAGAAGAAGAAGGAAAAGAAGAAAAAGAAGAATAATTAAGAAGAACAAGAAGAAGAAGAAGAAGATTTAGAAGAGGGAGTATAATGAAGAAGAATGAAAATGAAAACCCTCATTCAGCTTCATGTTTTTTCCCATATGAAAGATTGAAGAAATCAGCTCCTCTCTAAGAATTAAAAGAGAAGTTTCTTTCTTTTGGTATTTAATAATACAAAACAATAAAACTTTAGCATGACTCAAAAGGCCGAAGACAATATTTTTCAAAATGGTTGCTACATTAACACTCTTAATCCAGAATTTGAACAATATTATTAGTGTAAATCTGTCCCTCTTTCTCTTCTCCTCTCTCTCTCTCTCTCTCTCTCTCTCTCGCTCGCTCTCTCTCTCTCTCTCTCTCTCTCTCTCTCTCTCCCTCCCTTCCTCCCTGACAACTACCTTCCCTCTATTATCTCTTCCATCCCTTGTCTTGCTCCCTGAACTCCTACCGCCCCGATCCTTTTCGACCTCTCTGTTTTAGCCATTAGATAATCATACTCTACTCTGATTGCTTACCATCCTTTATCATGTTAACACAGCCCCTCTCTCAAAATTCTCTTACATATATCTTCTCTCCGCTCCACACTTTTCTCTTGAACCGACAAGTCAGCAAAAATACATCAACAAAAATCATAAACAACCAACGACCATTATAGCAGTGGTCGTTGTTTGATGAGAAGCCACCCATATGAATATAAAATTGATATTGATCGTATTGCCATAACGCGTCCATAGCAACAGGTCAATATCATTCTCTGCACAAATTAGTCATACACAGCGATTAAGTCCATTAATTAGTAGTTCTTGGAATTCGCCCTCAAATACAGAAAGAGGTTCTGTGATCTTATTTGAAGATGTCGGTTGGTGTCTGATTGCAGTGTTGCTACGGAAATTAACATTAGATCACAGTCAGTGTAGTGATTTTGGAGATTCTAAGTGGGAAAAATTCTCAACTCTTAATTAAGGTAAATGAAAAATATATGCTCAGTCTAAATGCGAAATATTTTGTTTAAAGCAATGTTTTTACTCGAATTGGCTTCATTAAAACGAACTTAAAGCGATCTTAATTACATGTATGGGGTATGTCCTTTACCAAGTATTATTTTGTTCTCCAAATGCAATTTGATATTCATTTTAAATTAGAATTATTTCCATGTTTTTATTGACTTATGAAAATAAAATTATTTAATTATTATGTTGTTTGTGTTGTTGTTGTTATTGTTGTCATAACCATTAATATTCTTGTTATTGTTATAATTATTATTATTATTAGTAGTAGTAGTAGTAGTAGTAGTAGTAGTAGAAGTAGTAGTAGTAGTAGTAGTAGAAGTAATACAAGAAATGGTATTTTGTATAAATATATAATTATGTACGTACATAAATACATAGATAGGCCTACATAATACACAAACACACACATATATAAAATCACATAGTACATAAGATATTAGACTTTCGTTTCATGTCACATGATGTAAGTGAAAGAAATAGAGCAGAAATCTAATTTTATAGCCTCTCGTACCTTGTTAAAGGCCCACTGCACTACTTGTAGCTACTTGCGCCCTCTTACAACAAACAATGCCTAATCGGTGACCATTGGTCCCCCATGATCCTCTTTTTCTTATGTTAACTGAGAGCCGAGTTGATGAGATAACCACCTGTCCAGTGACCTTGCAGGGCGCTCTAATCCCTCCTGTAAACTATGGCAGATAAGCTTTAAATGAACCAAAAATTTGACTAGTGTAACTAACTGGGCGGGGCTTACGTGACCTCGAGCGTTTTAACTGCGCACCTATACGACATTTCGTTGTAGAGTTTCAGGATTACTTTCTTCTGTGTGTGGACATCCTGGAATTTATACGATGATTATTTATACGACGTTTCTTGTGTGTGGACACTCTGAAATTTATACGATGATTCTTTATACGACGTTTCGTTATACACCCCCTGACCCCTGTCCACACACAACATTTTCCGTGATTAGCTATACCGTTTCGCGATAGTGATACTGTTTCGCGATAGTTTTACGATAAAATTGTGTGTGTGGACGCTCACTAACGATACGTCGTATAACGAAACTAGTCTAACGAAACGCAGGTTTGGGCATCGTTTCGAACTGAAACTCGATAAAGAATCACGCCTAATCACGAAAATGTTGTGTGTGGACAGGGGGAGTGTAACTAGTGTAACTAACTGGGCGGGGCTTAACGTGACCTCGAGCGAAAGGAGATCAGACTGTAGAGTTTCAGGATTACTTTCTTCTGTTTATGGACATCCTTGAATTTATACGATGATTATTTATATGACGTTTCTTGTGTGTGGACACTTTGAAATTTATACCAGGGCATGTGAGTTTAAAGTCTCACCTCCCTGTTTATACTATGATTCTTTGTACGACGTTTCGTTATAGAGTTTCGGGATAAATTGTTTTGTGTGTGGACACGCTGAGAGTTTCGGGATAAATTGTTTTGTATGTGGACACGCTGTGTGTAATCTTCTCCAGGGCCATTCCAGGGCTATAAAGCATACTCAAACGGATTACTTTCTTTACAAAATACTTTGAACATGGCGATTTTCCATCGGTGATTGGATGATTTTCGCTGGGCAATACGAGAGGGCGTTGTTTTCCTCACATTTTCATAGATGTATTGTAGATATTCATATAATAATATTATTGGGCCTATAGTAGGCTTATTCATAAAGACCTATTCCTTTTAAACAAAAGTTGCGATACGCCGCGTTTCACTTGGCTACAATAACCGACCTTACTCTCAGTATAAAAGTATGCATTGATAAAAGGACTCGGTAATTCTTCTCCCCTGTAATTACCAGTACCGGAACTCTGACAATACGCTTTTCATTTTATCAACTTGACCGAATTTAGCGAATCATTCATGGACCTCCTCATTATTTTATGAAACGCTTATCTCAGCTGCCTGGACCGGATCCCACTCTAAGAGGAACAAACGAATGTAAAGAAGTAACTACTCTGGAAGAAGAGGATGTATAGGCCTAAACGTAGGTCAATCTATACATGACAATACAAACAACCACTCTAACTTATATACCTTTACGAGCAGTGGCGGATCCAGGGGGGGGGGGGGCCGGGGGGCCCGGCCCCCCCCCCCTCCCCCTTGAGAAAAAAAATCATGTAAAATCAAGCGATTTTTACCTTTTTTTTTTGGGGGGGGTGCAAATTTTAAAATTTTCGAGGACCAAAAAAAAAAAAAAATGTGCTCACTATCCCCCTCCCCCCCCCCCCCCCCCAACTGAGCGACTGTTTGGCTGGTTGAGTCGTTGCGATTTAGACTTTCGTTTCATGAAAGAAATCTAATCTTGTAGCCCTCGTTTAATGAACCGGATCTTCTCCAGGGCCATTCCAGGGCTATAAAGCATACTCAAACGGATTACTTTCTTTACAAAATACTTTGAATGGAAATATCAGTCACGTATAGGATGTGTAGATGACAAAAGAAGGTTTGCCTTGGATTTGTAAGTTACTGTGCAACTAGCTAGATCAAGGAATTGCTTTGTTTTGTTTAGATTTAAAATGTACTTAACCGACGTAGTAATAGGGAATTTAAGATTTGCACTTCGACAAAAGGCTGTCTGCAAATCTAAAAGTCCCTATTGATGCTCGTTCCTCCGAGCAGGCCATTGTCTTCACTGTATATAAATAAAATACAAGTCATGGTATCGACACAACGTCGAACATTATTTACAGCTGTGTGTACCCGTCTTGCGAGCAGTCTAACTTTACAGCTACTTCGCAGAATAATAGTGATTGGAGTTTAAATTCAAATTATATAGCACTGAAAAGCTTACGTGCATAGTTGAAATCGAAAATAAAAGTAAAACTTCATCTATATCAAACCTGAATGAGCTAATGTAAATACTGGACGTTCCTGAATAAGCGGTTATGGATTTCTACGATACAGTGATGGGTGAATTAGTGCAGCGGTACACGGGGATCGAATCACCCAAGACAACCAGAGGCACAAAATACACCTTGTTCATCAAAACGGGTGATCGATTTGGTATGGGCACAGACGCCACGGTCTCGGTTGCGTTCTATAACAAGCAAGGACTTCGTTCCCCGGATTTCAAGCTTAGCAACCTGTTCCGAAACGACTTCGAGTCCGGCCACGTGGATAAGATGCAGATTGTGTTGAAGAATCTTCAGTTTGGAGACCCGGCCCACATAGAGCTGTCGCGGACCCGATGCGGGCTTGGACTCGGAGACTCTTGGTTTTGCGAGGTTGTCAGGGTGGTGAACGTGGAAACGAAGAGGGTGCACACGTTTCCCGTCCATCGTTGGGTCCTTCCCGAATCCCCGATCAAACTGAAGGAGTACGATGCCGTACTTCCACAGCATGACGAAAACGTGGCACAGAGACAACGCGAGCTCAAAAAGAAGAGAGATCTGTACGTCCCGGTCAGGAATGAACAAACGGGGATGATCACGGTAAGGATATGTTTCTCTTATTGTAATCAAGACTTGTTCACTATTGTAAGGCTCGGAATCGTACTCTCAATCGGAAGATTGAGAGTCAAGTGAATACCGCGATACGATTGGAAAAAAGGAGAGAGATTTTATTTGATTTTAATTAATTTTATTCTGCATTGTATACAAATTTAAACAATTTTCGGTAAACATAAACATAAAATACAAAAAAAGTACTTTCTGACAATTGATCATAAATAAGCAAATGTACATGACAATTACTGTATAAAAAATGAAAATATAATTTGTAAAATATTCATATTACCTAAAACTTTATAAAATTATTTGCGGAAGAAGGGCTGCCATTGTGAGCAATCGTTTGAAAACCTGACAGCCTAAAACAAAACTTACGAAAAAAACAAACAATTCAATATCAAGCAAAATGAACAAATAATTGAAATCATATGTAAAACATAAGGATAATTGCTGACGATGATGATAATGATAATAATCACGATAAAAGAGAAGGGGGTATGATGATGATAATTATATTGAGAGATAAAGTGGGGGGGGGAGAGAAAGGGGGACGAAGGTTATATTTAGTTAGCATCAGTTGGTCAAGCCAGGGAGGTGAAAGAAAAGGAGGCGAAACTCTTGTAATTTATTCAAACGCATTCTTGAGTTCTAAAGCGTAACAATATGTGTAACATTCCACTTGGCTTTGAAGTTCCATGCTCCGAACCGCGCTTCCACTGCGGGGACTTTCGGAAGCCAGGCACCAGTTTTACATTTATTACAAAATATTAAATTACCGGCAAAATTTCAGTGTAAATAAAAAACTTTATAATGGGGATTTTATTGGGAATAGTGCATCAAACAATTTTTCAAATTTAGAACTCCGTCCTTCATTTAATTTGTGTGCCAGAGTTGGTAAAAGAAAAATTACATCCTGTCAAAAACTCAATATTTTAGGATGATGCGCTAATTTGTGCATGCTTTAAAGTCCCGTTATTTGATCCATGATTTACAATCTTCAATAACATTAAGTTTGCTAATGCGTGTTTTCGCGTGTTTTTTTGTATTTTTCAAGTTTAAAGAAGGATGAAATTACACAAGTTTGTGTTCGCTTGTTCTACTCTTTACACATTCAACAATGGATGAAAAATCATTGGAAGGGACAGCGAACAGTTGCTGGATACCATTTTATGATGTAGGAATTCTAAATCCCGAAATTTCATGCGCTCTTTTATCTCACCACCTGGTCAACAGTTGCAGATTAGCGCATAACTTTTCGGCGGCTTGGAGCATGGGGTCAAATGAGAGTGGCTTGATTCCAGTCCTTCTCTATCACGTCCCTGGTCAAGCGTGTTCATGTGCTTTTACGTCTATCAATCACTAGCCTTGTACGTATATCAATCAAACAAGAAATAATGTATAGGGCAACTGATATTTATACACACACACAGAACATTACAATCCCGATGACTTTCTGTAATTGCTTAAATGGTATTTTTCTCTTTCAGTACAAGGACCTACCACCAGATGAAAACTTCTCCATTAGCTCGACGGTAAGTTTGTAAAATCAGAATCACACTTAAATTTTGTAAAATTTCTATTGGCAGTCAGTAGCGAACGTGTCTATTGTTAAATATTAAAATATCTCCCTTATAGAATTGATGCATGCGCTTGACTTTATTAGAAAATATCTGCTATCAAATTGAAGATGTGCATCTATGGTAAAAAGCCATTAGGTTGAGTATGATCACACAACTTCAACGAGTCAGAGCGTAAATGAACATAAATGAACGAATAAAAACATGTATCATGTGTTTTGTACAGCGAATCTCCTAGAATCTTGTTGCTTGATGAAAAAAGAAGTGTTTTTTTTTTTAAAGATTGGTCTCTGCCATTATCGAAGTCAATTAAATCTCATGTTTGGGAGGCATACTGAAGCGAGTACAGAGAGTACAAGCACTCTTTACACGTTTACGCGCAGTGCTATACGTAAAAGAGCTACGGACACTCCTGCGTTGGATAGTACTGGAATCAACGTACTGCACGATTTTTAATGAAAACAAATCGTGGGATAGTCTTAATAAATGATTACACGTGACTGCATTAGACCAATCACTTGATTAGGGTCTAGGAGTGAGTTGAATTCATTGAAATAACATGTTTCACTTTTAGTATTCTTATTACAGATTGATCTGATCGGGAATGGAGTCAAGCTATTAGGTAAAGCGGCAATAAGGAGTCTCACCGTAAAGACGTGGCATTCATTGAAGGAAATGGAGGAGATTTATCAAGAAGCCCACTTTCCAGCGCCAATGGTGAGGTATTTGATGGGGCATTTTCAGTCTGCCCCTCTGGTACACATGGCGAAGTTCCACTTTGAGCATCTTAGAATAATAATCTCCAAAGTCCTAGATGTGCTTCATGAATACCTTTTGTTTGGAATCTTGAAAAGAATACTTCCACCTGCGTATCTTGGAATGTACCGTTGGTGCATAAATGAACAATGTTACATAACTTTCATGAGCGCATATCCAGTATTCATCTCTGGTGGGTTTTACCTTTTTGGCACAAATGACCTTTATCTGCCAATGCGCAGATTGTATCTGTAAACTGGCTTATTCCGTGAGCCCAACCGGATAACTGTTTTCGGGTATAGCACACTACACGATCCGATCAGAAATCCATCGGATCGTAGTCGGATCGTGTACTGTGCGCCAGGCTTTTGACGAGCCGTTTCTTTTTTGTTCATTGGTTTTTATTCTCTTCTCTCATCATAAAGAAAATTTCACATAATTTTAAACATTTTATACAAAATTACAAATAATCTTAACATAGGCCTAAATAAATTTGCAAGTGAACTTTAACTTTTCCATACAAGGTTAAAAATACATTTTCATATAAAATATATTTGCAAATGAAGTTACACATTTACAGAAGAAAATATTCAAGTAAACAAATTTATAGTTTCATATTTTAAACAAATTGCACATGAAAGTCTTTACAATTTCCTCGTCCAGCTTGCATATAAATTTCCAATGATTTCTTTTCTTTTCCACGATAATTTTTCAAAATCTCCTTCAAAGAGAAAGAAAGGGTTATGATGAAAAAAAAGAAAAAAAGATACATGATATGAAAAACAGAACAGGAATAGAGAGGGACGGAGGACAGTAGGTGTTCTCTTTCTCTTTGTGTTTTATTTTATTTTTCAATATTTTTGATAACCCTCGAGCCAGGACGGGATTGCACACGCACGATATAGGGTCGCGATCGAACGCACTAAGAACGAGATGAGGACGAGTTGAACTGTCCATGAGCGGAGTGGTCGGTCATAAACTAGTTTGAACAAGTTGCGAACTAGCTAGAATGGGTTTGGACGTATTAGGAACGAGGTAGAACTAGTTTAGAACGGGTTGACTACGGACGGGCTTGGACTGCTTGGAAATGGCAAATTTACCCGATCTGAACTTGATATGAACTGAGTGTGGACGGAGTATAGACGAGGTGGACGTATTGAGGACTGTTTATGACTAGGATAGTATTATAGAAATTATTTACACATTCTTCCCCGACCACAACCCGTTTTTACGATTTTCTAGGACGGTTCCAGAACGTAGTGAGAACTAGTTTGGTGTGATGGGGCTTATATACTGCTGCTAATTAAGGCTCGACCACGGCATGCTGTAACACGTTCCTAGTAGGATCGAAGTACGGCAAATCCGTTCATAGTAGGCAATCGGTCCGGTCGTAGTACGTCCTCCTCGTTTTAAGTACGTTGTCACTCCGTAAAAATTGCAAGACGGGGACAACTTTGAACAGGCACAAAGTGCCAGAACACTCTCCCGAACTAGCCAGTCCGAGCCCGTCCATGAAGTTCTTAAACAAATCGTAAACATTATTTTGCTACTACGTTCAACTCCGTTCGCACGCAGTTTGAGCACGTTTGGCAGCATTTTACAGAATGTAGTGAAAACTAGTTCGGTGTGATAGGGGCTTCATGAGACAAATCCAAGCAAACGTTTCCACATGTCTTACAAAGAGTTACGATTGATCCAAATCAATTGCAAGTCCTCCAATCAATTGCAAGTTTACAATCTCCTATCTCTTATGTACATATTTGCGATTGATATCAACTCTTTGTACTTTGTAAGCCAGAGCCCTGGTTATTACGCTGACTGTAACTACTCTTCGGAATACTGGGCCTTGGCTCAGCGTCAAAAGAATATGTATTTCAATAAAGCAATCATCGTCCACTGAATTAATAATGTGTGAGAAAACTGAATGCACTACTTGTTTAAATAATGCTACCGATAAGTTTGGCGTTGTTGTCACAATAGATGATTGGCTGAGTTGGCGTGGGTATCATTCATGAATATCTCATATCAAGTGTTTTTAAAATCATATTTTGAAGGGAATGCAAAACTGGAGGTCAGACAAAGAGTTCGGCAAGCAAAGACTGGTGGGATGCAACCCAGCAATGATTCGACTTTGTACCGAGATACCAGAGAAGTAAGTACAGTCAAACCTTTCTACAGCGACCGCCCAAGGGAAACACAAAAAGTGGTCTTTGTAGACAGGTGGTCTTTGTAGACAGGTTCCTTTAGTACAAGTTTCAATGATAAACCATTTTCAAGGGAAACAAAAATGTGCTTGTTGTAGACAGGTGGTCACTAAAGCAGGTTTGACTGTATATATTTTTTCTTATCATTCTTCTTCCCCTCTTTCTCTTTCTCCTCCTCCTCCTCCTCCACTTAATCCTCGTCTTCTTCGTCCTTTTTATATTCTTCTCTTCTTCCTCCTCTTCTTCCTCCTCATCTTCGTCCTCCTTCTTATACTTCATCCCCTCTTCGATCTCCTTCTCCCTTTGTTCCTTTTTCTTTTTTCATCTATATAACCGTCTTCGTTTCCTGTTTTTTCTTAATATTATTTTTCTTCTTCCTCTTCTTCTTCTCCTTCTCCGTAATTGCACACCGGTGAACATGCAGTGCTTACGTTAATTTTAGTTTGTCTTTTTCATATTTTTTCTTGTGTTCGTAAACATCATTTCACCTTTTAACATTTTCGAATTTACAAACACGATAATTATGTTGATATGAAGATTTTGAACTGATTTGAATGGAAATAGATTAAAAATTAATGACCTTATATATTTATCATTAAACAGACTTGTTTATAACTAATTTAGGGGTAATGTTTAGAGTTGTGAGTGAGATTAATGTAATACAGGTCCCATGAGATTATACAAGTAGGACACTGTGATGGCATATCAGGCATAGGATGAAACCTATCGACGCACGCCCCTCACAATATACGCCCCTTTAGAAGGGATTCCAGCCCCGCCCGTTTACATATTTCTGGATACTGTAAATCTTCAGTGTCGTTTCGAACGCATTGTTCTGAAATATATATATATATCACTCTTCACATGAAACTCCTTCATGGAGGATTAAAATTCTGTGTATATCTTAAAGGCAAGGTATTCTACCGACACTGCTTCAGATACTACCATCTCCTGCTCACAATTTCCCGATATGTCGACGGCCATGTCCCACAATTCATCACCAACTGCATGATGCGCGCGTGATGGTGCTTGGGTGCAGGAACCGGAAATCGCTGTATGTACGTTTTCACCAAATACATTAGCGCAGTGGTAGTAATGTCGGTAGAATACCCTGGCCCGTATTCTGAAGTTGTGTCTAACTTAGCCACGTCTAAAGTTAAACAACTGTTTAGTTAGACAGGAGTTAGACATGACTTCAGAATACGGGCTCCTGACTTTAAACTATACAGCTAATTTCAGGATATGTATTTTTCTTTTCCATCACTCCGCGTAGTTTTGCCGTCAGTGAGAGCGATCTTGAGCCCCTACTCGAAGGACTCACAACTAAAGATGCCATCCAGCACAAGCGTCTCTTCATCATTGATTACCAGTTCCTTAAAGGGTTGCCTTGTACGGACGGAAGAGAGGTAAGCAGATCGAAATGTTGATGAATTATTCGTCAAAGAGATGTGCCAGCATTACAAAGGCATCGTTTCACGAAACTAGTTCGTCGACAACTAATGATATTGAAACGGGTTAATTTCGTCAGCTATTGCCTGCATGATCAATATCTTCAACTTGGAAAGAAACCTTTTGTACGAAAAATTGCCGATCGATGAATGAACCATTGTTCAGATTACAATGTACAACTTCTCAAAAATGTATTAAGTATCCGTCATATTAAAGCATATCTGCTTTTGTTTGTTTGTTCGATTGGATGTTTTGCGTCTCTCTTTGTTTTGTTCTGTTTTTTATACAATACATATTCTGTATTGCATTCCCTTCATTCAAGTTAACTTTGACTCTTAAAGCATACTCAATGTTTTTTTGTTGTCAAACAAGTAAATTAACAATAGAAAACCGTTTTTAAAATCACGTTTGATTTTTTCCAGATGTGTGCCCCTGTGGCTCTTTTCTTTCTCAACAAGGACAAATATTTGATGCCAGTCGCAATCCAGTTATACCCAGACCCAGCTCCAGACAATCCGGTATTTTTTTTAAACTCTCAGTCAATTCTAGTGATTTTTTCTTCAAATGTAATATTCCAAAAGAAATATTTTGTTATTTTAAGAAAGTATTTAGGATATTTAAAAATTATCTTGCATCAAGGTCTGCCTGTAAACGTTCTGCTCAAGGGCCCTTGCTTTGATTGTTAAATGGGGGGGGGGGGGTCCCTTTTGTAGAAATCCCAATTGCAGAATTTACATCTCGTAAAATACGAACGTGAAAAGCCCAGCATGTGTTAGCCCAATTGATGATCAGTAATTTTCTCTAACGAGTCACGTGATTAAAACGTTTAGAATGCAGGTTATTTCCGTTCACAATTTCGTCATGCAAACCGTCATGTGTCCTAATCTAGACAAAAATAGGTAATCAAAGAAAGAAGACAATTTATTTAATCAAAGAAAACAAAACGCGAATTATAATTTTTTTAAATTTATTAAACCTTTAGCAAACTTTGGACATACCACCACAGTAAATGGTTCTAAAGTTGCAATATTGATTATTAAAGGGTTATTTCCGATATCGAAAATAAACGAGTGTTGCAATTATTAGATTATCCCTAGTAGACTGTCAAGATTGAACTAAAAACGTTACCTTTTCGCTACTCGCCTAACATTATTTCTATGCAACTTCATTAATAATTTTTTTTTTTTTTTAATATTCTGTCTTCAAAATTCATTTTAGGTGTTTTATCCAACGGATCCTGAGTATACTTGGCTGATGGCAAAATGCTATTTCAACATGGCCGATCTGTCAGTGCATGAGTCGGCCAGTCATCTTGGATTGACGCACATGGTCGGTGAATCAGTCGTCATAGCAACGCATCGATACCTGGCTCCGTCCCATCCCATCTTCCGACTTCTTGCCCCTCATTTTCTCTACCTACTCGCCATCAATGAGTGAGATGTTCTTTTTTAAATAATAACTTCGAAGGTCAATATTTTGTGTACTGAGACCAGAATTTAACTCTCAAACACAACATTTTAGACGGTTAGTTAATATTGTGTCAGAGTCTGACCAGTCAAGTGTAAACATCTTGTCAGTCCGTGATATTAAACATTTCAAGAAAAAACAAGAAAAAAAATTGGCCGTCATTTTTTTTCGTGAATTCCAAATTGTGCTATTTTTTGCGAATAAGTGGGGCTAGAGGAGGGGGGGGGGGGGTCTTTGCCCCACTTTATTTTCAGAAACGAATTTACCAAAGTGGGCTAGCCCCACCTAAAGTACGCGGTTAGTTGGCACTGCAAAATAGTAGGGCTTACGCCGCAATTGCGGGGCTGACATTAATTTTTTAATTACGGGAAAGGCGACTAACACAGCGTGTGTGAAAAGCCAAAAAAGTTAGTCCGGGGCTAAGGAAAGTACTGGGCTAAGCAAAACAAGTGTGAAAAGCATAATAGTGAAGCCCGTTTACAACACTGACAACAATTGTTATTACTTATCTTCTACGGCATTCTTGCTCTCAAATAAATTTGAATTTAAATTTTCATTTCGTTTATTTCCATTTCCGAAAAAATAAAATAGAATACATGGGATTGCATTGTACCATCGTAAAATAATACAAATTAACATTATATTTGTAATGGTAATTGGTATACACTGTACAACAGGCATAGAAAAAACGGGTTGGTCATGAAGGAGACTGCTGAAAAGCCGGCTTTAGCTTCATTTTTAATTTTAGTCATTTTATCGAAAATGAGTGTATTTAGGTCAGTGATTACTGGATGAAATCAAGTTATGAATCCTGAACACCCTTGCATTTTCTTTACAGAAATCATGTATAATCAATGTTCATTGTCACTTTTTGTCGAGCGTTTAGAATATGTTTCCATAACACTCGATTGTGATATTATTTCAGTAAAGCCTTGGACGATTTGATGGCAAAGGGAGGCTTCGCCGATAAGAACATGAACATAGGAGCAGTAGGCATGGTGGGAATTATCAAACGTGCTTTTGCAACTTATCGTCTTGACGTAGAGGGCTCCCTCCATGCTGACCTTCAGGAGAGAGGAGTCTCTGATCCAGAAGTTCTACCCAACTACTACTACCGTGATGACGCCTTGCTCTTACACAAAGCAATATATCGCTTAGTGGAACAAGTGGTGGAACATCATTATGGTAGGCCTACGTCGTCACCATAATTGAGTGCGCTAAACACATTCTCTAAAATGGACAGTATCATGAACTTTTAATCGCAATTGATATAAGGTTAAAGCTACTCTTAAAATAACAATTTTAAAACATTGCTTGAAATTGTAATAGATACCCACAACTTACCGGAAGGCCTGACAAAAATTAGAAACTGATTTTGATACTAATCAAAAGCCAAATGGCTACTTCAAATACTCGCATGAGGGAACACAAAATAGTTATTAAAAAGTGTTTTCTTTATACATGCATCTACCTCCATAAACCAACACATTTCCTCGTTAAATCATCACATACATTAACAAAATCAAGCCAAAATTATATTTGATCTTTGATGTAAATACATTGATTCATTTGTCATCTTAACAGAAATGTCTTATATTATGGTTCTTGTGAATTCTCTCTCCAGACACACCTGAGAAGATTGCTGGCGACGAGGAGCTTCAAGAATGGGCGTGGTTCTTGGGCGGTCAGCCGAAGTGTGAAGGAGACGTCACAGCTGGAATCAAGGTATTGCATTACTGAACTATACAACACATTCATGAATAACAAAACCCTTGATATCTCAATCGCCGCGCCCTGGTTGCACAAAACGATGACGCCGACACCAGCCTAAGGGTATCGTTTCACGTAATCGCCATAAGCTTTCAGACATACCATCTAGTATTAATTTTAATACAAGCAATTCTGGTTGTTGGCGAACTTGTGTTTATAAGGGTTTCGTGAAAATGTTTTTTTTTTAATCGGTACCCCGATCTGACGATGATACAGGTGTCAATTTCCAACCCGATGGGTTACATTAATTACAGTAATTATTGCATAAATGCACTTAAAAAGGCGCTACCTTCTTTCCCTTGCAATTGAAGCACGATAATATAGCGCATCGTTTACGTTTGGAATGCCATATACGAGGCGTCATTTCGATTGCGTTTTTAGGGACTTTTAGATTTGCGTGGACTGATACCTGTAGCATCCATTCAAGGCAGTGCATTAAAAGGACGTCGATCGTAGCATAGACCTATTGTCTTCGTGTGAATCTAAAAGTCCCTATTACCTTCGCTACAAACAAGGCTATATTGGCAGCTAGTCCATAGTCAAAGTCACAGAACACGAGGCCACTCTCGCGTAGCGCATCCAAGGCCCCATTTGTCACTGACGCCCTCCTACGTCAGACAAATAACGTCTCGTTTGCAGTGAGTTTAAAAGTCACGGTAGGGAAAGAGATAGCCCCCCCCCCCCCCGGAGATAGCCACCTTTAAACGATTATTATTAAGAATATCACAGGTAATCCCTTTGTTTTGAAGTTGTCATTGTCCCGGTGTATACGAGGACTCGTGTCGATTCGAACACCAGTTAATCAAAGCAATATCTTTATTCATTTTGCATTCATTTTTGGACGCCTTACTTCCTCCTTATGCCTTTTGTGCATAGGGACATATTATCTAAAACTTTGGTTCAGATGTAATTTCCTATGCATTTTCTGTGCCACATCAAACTAGGATTTTCATTTATCATTTCTCTCAGGGATTTCCGAACGGTGGCCGATTGGACACGTCGAGAGAGATCACAACCGTTATCACCGACTTCATCTTCATGTTCACCGCTAAGCACGCCGCGGTGAATTTCGGTCAGTACGAACTTTTCGGATTCCCGCCATCCTACCCCGCCTGGTTGAGCGGCAAACCACCACATGACAAGGTAAGGGATAGGTCTTGCTGCTCCAGATCTTATATCTAGATTGTAGGCCCACCTTCCTGTTGTGCTTAATTAAGTATTAATTATGCTTAATTGTGCTTGATAATTAACAATAATAATAATAATAATAATAATAACAATAGTAATGATGATAATAATGATGTGGTGTGATGGTTATTTTACCTGACTGCTAAGAAAGCATAAATGCTTGTAAGTAAGCAACCAGACGGCCAACGGCTTTAGGTCCTCTCCGAGGGACCTGGTAATGAGGATTAATGCCTTACCAAAGGGCACTAGCGCATCGACTTGGTTTCGAACCCGGGTCACCGGATTACGAGACCACTGCTCTACCGACTAAGCTATCGCGCATCCGTTTAGTCATTTACACCTGGATAGAGAGTGGCAAGTGTGGAATATGCCTTGCGAATGGACGTTAGTGCTGGGCTGGGATCGAACCCTTAACTTTAGGACTTGAAGGCAGGTGAATGAACCACTATACCACCACAATCCGAGGGATGAGGGTTCGAATCCCAGCCCGTCACTAAAGTCCCTTGGTAAGTCATTTAACGACATTTGACACTCAGGAGTAAATCTGCAACTGACAAATGTTTGGGTATATAAATAAATTAGACAATACTATTTGGGTTTTTACTTCCCCAGGGGTAGCCTCATCGGTATCAAATACTGCTTCCTGCGGGCACTGTATGATATATTTATATTTATTTATATATATGTATATTTATTAATATATATATATATATTATCTATTTTATCAGACTGCTCTATGTGAGAAGGATATTCTTGACAAACTTCCAGGCAAGACACAAACATTACAGACCATGGCTATGACGTCACTCCTCAGCTGCCATGACAACAAGGCATTAGGAGACTTCGAGATCCAGTACATGCATGATCCTAACGGTCTCCAAGCTTTGGAGAGGTAAGGACCTTTTTATTCTTCTTTTCATTTCAGCGGTATTTTACCGATATTTTTAGAAACATTTAGCAGAACAACACAAAGTTATTTCATTCATTATGTCTGATTTCGTTAGTGTTGTTGGAGGGGGACGTGTCTGTATATTTATATATACCCTATAGGGTATTTAGTGTTTAAATTGATTTGTTATAATTTCATATGATATGTGGAGGTGCCTTCTGTTTCTTAATTAATTTGAAATGAATTTAATTGAACTATATTTGATTCCAATCACAGTAAAAAATGACATTATACAATGTTGTTAAAACATAGGCAAAGAAAAATACATTGAAATATATAAATATATACATTGGAAAAAGAAGACATGATTAAATCTACTAAAAGTATAGGTTCGAAAAAGGTGCATCCGTAAGAGTAAAGAAATAAACAACACTTACAAAATTACAATATATCATTTAAGAAGAACTATACAATGACAAGAAGTGCTGCTGAAGCTACTTTAAATGGTTTTGTGAAATGAATTGTTTGTAAAGAATGTGGTAATATGTTCCAAACTTTTGGGCCATTACGGGGAAGAGAAATTGCCATCATGATTTACAAGCTTTGTGCCTTTCTGAAGGTACCCGTTCATCTAATAGTCTGCAAATTTATGTATTTATGACTGTTATATGTGTTTTGATTAATTTGTCGGAAGATGAATAAATAAAATTGAATCGAACTTGAAAACTTTCATATAAATTTATTTACTTATTTCAGATTCCGCGCTGAACTCAAGGAAGTTGGTAATACAATCGACGAACGAAATAAGACCAGAGAAAACAAGTACCACTGGCTTCATCCATCTGAAGTACCGAATTCTATCTCTATCTAGCTTTTAGAAAAGAGTGAGATATTTTTTATAAGTATAAGTGATTTGTTTTACAGCTGAATATTTAAGGGGAGAGGGTTTAAGAAGAAGAAGGGATATTTGGATGAGAGCAATAATTAACGCAGCTTTGAGATCATTTTTTCTCACAAACGTCTTCAGCGCAAATATATGCCCGACTACATTACGAAATTGGTATATCGCCAAACTACCTCTTGAAAAAAAAATATGTATTCAAACAAACAAAAAATTATGGATCATTGACATTGAAAACCATACTCTTCGCGTTGAGTAGGCATGTATCAGGGATGCGGGCCCGGTTTCATAAAACTTGATATCAATAACAAGTTACAAGCTACTGTTTTAAGCTACTGAAATCATGGCATCTGATTGGCTGAGAGCAGATTTATCATAGAAATGAAGCATTGTTTATTGATATCATGTACACATGTACAACACACTATCTATTTACTCTTTCCTTGATTGCATTAGCTATGTACTTCTTTAATAAACCAATGTTTTAAGCATGACCTAGTAAATACCCAAATTATTTTCGCATTTTCCTATGTAAAGTATACTTTTTTGTCATTGGCACAGTTTAATAGCTCTGGTATTTTGTAAAATATATGTTAGTTTTGTTTTTAATTATTATTTTTGAAGTGACAAAGATATTGCATGTAATATGTGCAATAAATGAACGAAGATAAGTATGTCGTAAGGTTGTGAAAACATAATTAGCTCTCTTACCGTACAATACCTTTTTGACAAAACAATAAAAGTAACGTACTCAAATTGTATATGATGTATTATGAATAAGGATAAAGTGTAGGAACCTACTGAAAACATAGATGCTTTTAACTTGCAGGTTTCCGCAAAGTTACGTGACCAAAATACCGTTATAATTATACAAAATAGATGGTAAACATGTTAACATAATTGTGTGAAATTGCGTTCAAATCAATAGGTACAAATCCTTCTTTGATGTACATCGAAGTATTAAGATATAACACAATCAGATGTGCATCAAAATATAATACAAACAAATACATGTACCAATCTTATAGCTTATCTAAGGTCTTAACCACTAAAGAAAGTCGTCTCTCTCTCCTTCTCTGTTGTGTTCCCACTGTGAAAAGGAATACGAGCAAACTTTCCATAAATTTTGCTCTTATTCTTATTCAAGCAAATCAAATGCACAAAGTATTTGGTAAAACATAGCATTCTTCCAGGAGTTATACAAAGCGTTTTATGTTTTTCCTCACGAAAAAAATAGGCGCTTAGTTTTAAGCCGTTTCATAATGACCAAAACCCCGTAACACAAATGTTTGCAATAATTTTGTTTTCTTCACATTTTTATCATTATTTGAAGATTCCTCTTATTTGTTATTATTACTGTATTGAAATTACCATTTTTAAAACCATTGTAGATATGCTCATGGGTTTTTTAAGACCAAGGTTTAAACTGAAATATAACTGATCTTTCTATCCTCCTGAATAATATGTTTGCATAACAATAAAACAAAAACACTACGGATTTGCGATTGATGTTTGTTTTACTTGCACGAAGTTTTTTTAATCTGGTATTGTACATACATCCGCACTGCACCTCAACAGTACCACAAAAAACGTGACGTCGGCGCGGCCTATACTCCAAGTAAAAAAGAAGAAGAATTATCAAATGTTCAGTCATACTACTTCCTACTGTGCATGGGCTAGATGGGATGACGTCAATGTAATATATAAGTAACTTTGAGGGGTCAAATCTTGTGGATAGAATGGGGTGACTATTTCGGGAGAGGCCCCCAGACTAACACATTAGTAATTTATTCGCTTTGGTTAACTTAGCATTCTTAGGATACGTCTAGCGCCATCTGTAGCTAAATTACATACATTACCTCCTCTCTTTCTCTTTCTTTCTCTTTCCCTCTTTCCCTCTCTCTCTCTCTCTCTCTCTCTCTCTCTATCTTACCATCGCCCTATTCTAGTTTCTTGTTTTGAATGATGGTGATGGTTATGATGATGATGGTGATGATGATGGTGATGATGATGATGATGGTGATGACGATGGTGATGATGGTGATGTTGATGATAGTGATGATGGTGATAATGATGATAGTTATGATGGTGGTGATGGTGATGATGATGTTGATGATAGTGTTGGTGATGATGACGGTGATGATGGTGATGATGATGATGATGGTGATGGTGATGATGATGATGATGACCAGGCGCGATTTTACAGCGGACACTGGCTAATCCAACCACTTTAAAGTTCGCATCCTACCATTTAAACACCTGGGTGGAGAGAAACAATGTAGATAAATTGCCTTGTTTAAAATACATAAATTCCGTGGCGTGGTCGAAGTCAAGTTTTTAAACTACTCAATTACGACTGAACAGACTTAAAATGCAATATACTTAAAAAAAGATGGAAATGGAAAAATAACCTAAATGTCTTCCAATGCAAGTTTTAAAAAGTGTCCATACATTCAGGAGTGATATATTCGTCGACCTCAATAATTTGTTGACGTAAATTTCTGTATGGGAAAGGACAACCAGGAAGCTGTAATGAATGGAGATACCGTCTCGAAAGAATTTTCCGAGGGAAAATTATTCAAGATTAACCTGGCTTAACAAAAAGAAATGTAACCCTCTCCAGCCATCATTTCCATCAACAGCTGTCCATATCAATGCACAGTCCCTCTCTGGCATTCCAAATAGTACGAAATGTTACGCAACGCCATCTGCTTCCCTAAGTTCTCTATTCACTCGTTTGCAAAAATATGCAAGCATCGGGCTTTGAAGCCATGCGTGGCACCGACAAATTAAGTCATGTTCATGGAAGATGTATTTAGCTATAACATATAAAATGCAGAATTCACAACATTATGACCAACGCAACTTTCTATTAGTCATCAAATGCGTTTTTCGTTCTCGGATAGCTCTACTGAAGACATGGCCATTTTAACCAGCGAAATCGACTAAGGAAATCATGAGTTAGAGCGAATGAAAGATTTTCATAATCATGATTTTCTCATCTAATTATTGACATTTTCCGAAAATTTCCGAAATTTGTACATAGCTAGGAAGGTAGTCCAAAGGTTTATCTTCCTAAAGAACTAAATGAAATTGTGTTATATGTTTGCGCATTTATTGATTTAGGACTAGAAGTTGTCAAGTTAGCACCACTATTCACCCAAAGTACGGGCCGGCAAAGCAAAAGCCGCCGTGCTCGCTGGGCTTGGCTGCGTGTGGAAAGGGAGGACTTAGTGCTACTAGGGAGCTGTAAGGTTTTGGAGGGGATTAAGGGGATTACGGTAGGGGAAACAAAAGACGCGCGGTGCCACGGATGACTTCAAAGGGGCCTCTTGGACGGGATCTCCATTCATTACAGCTTCCTGGGACAACCACTGATGACATCATTTTGTTTGGACACGTTTCATATTGTATTAAACTAGTTCAAGAGTGATCGGTACGAGGCTACGACATCACACTCAACGGGGCGCTAGCGTGTAAAAAAAAAGCCAACGGCGGGGGCGCTGTGACGTGCGCCTGTAATCCAGCTAGCAATGTAAGCCTCGGTCACAAATGCCATTACGAACTGCTACGAACGCCGTACGAACGACTTTCAGACAGTGGAAATTCGGGAAGACAATGGAAAAACAGGGAGATTCGTACGAAATTATCGTTCGTACGAACCTTTGTGACCGTAGCATAAGTTATTAACTGATTCAGCCGAGGACGCAGGTTCGATACTGAGTCACGTCTTTCGGATGGTGATGTTAAAAGTCGGTTCCCAGACGTAAATATTCATATCTGATTGTAACACGTCTGTAAAAACCTTATTACACACACACACACACACACAATGATGTGTTTGTAAACATGTTCCTCCCAAAGTATCTCTCCTAAATTTGCCTCTTAATCTTATACAAATAACAAGTTCTGTGCAAGAATAATTCTTAACAAAGAAGAGCAAAGAATATTTTCAAATAGTTTGACAAATTATTAATTTAACGTTACATGTTATATCGGACTTCAGTAGATCTTATCTATTACAGTGACCTTATTCCAAGTAAATAATTGGCAAAATCTAGTCGACTTCGTGGTAATGAAAAACAATAACGTCATTCCGTCTTCAAATCTTTTTATGTTGCTAGTAGATGCTACTAATTTGTTTTTGTTACTTCAGAAAGCAACATTGAGCTTAGAAAAAAAATGATAGAATTTATGACAGCTCTCCAGTAATTACAGTCTCGGGACACAACAACACATTTCTACGAAAAAAAAACAGGCGGCTAAAATTGGGTAGAAATAACTGGCTAATTTGGCCACATGTGGTCGGTTCAACGTTCTAATGAACGGCACCTCCTTTAATAAGTCTTGATTATTGGCACGAGCGCAGCTGAGTTCGGCCGTACTCAAGCCCTTATTAATGTCGCACAACAGAATTATAGATCCCAAGGAGACCATGTAACAAGGCATAAACAGGTTACAAAACAATTCTATAACCTTTAAATTTTGTATTATGGTATAATTGCGCGTATATCTACTGCTGCCGCACCAATAATTACCGACGATTTTTGTTTCTCCCAGTTACAAGTCATGCGTCAATGCTATTCCTCAGATGAATACAGATTTTTTTTTTTAACAGAATGCAAGGGAATGAATATACGTCATGGAAAAAAAATCCACACTTTCCTATATCAAGAAAGAGAAAGGAGTAGACAGAGAGAGAGAAAGAGAGAGAAAAGATACGAACTCAATTTATTTATAACCAGCCCTTTTAAAAATATATATGCTATTCCAAGTTTGTACTTAATTGTAGGAATTTAATTGTAAGTTTAAAAAAAAAGAATAGCATCGCGTAATCAGCGTACAACCTGACGTTTCAAAAATGAAGTCCATTTGGCAACTCATTAATATGTAATACAAAAAAGGAGAGGCCCAAAAATGGACCCCTGTGGAACCCCATATTTTAGTGATGAGAATTCAGATAAAGTACAATATACGCAAGTTGCTTGTGTTAATAACTAGTAAACCATCGAAATGCAACACTAGTAGTCTTTTATCCCATATTGCGTCAATTTTACCAGGAGAATTTAATGCTCTAGAGTGCTAAATGCTTTCTTAAGATCTAACATGACTGCAATTACCACCTTACCATCATCGTTACTCTTGAGCTAATCATCTGTAACATTTAATAGGATTGTGGGTGCAGCCTAAAAGCTGATTGCTACTCACTAATTATTAGACTATTTTCATTTAGACATCTATTAAGTTGATCAAAGACGATTCTTTCGAGTGTTTTGGATAAAATTGGTAGACTTGAGATTGGCCTCTACTTACAAGCCTCCCTTCTTTCTCCTTCATGCGAGGAAACTAAACGTGCAAGAAAATACCCTGAAACGAGGGAGAGTTATTTATTATAGCGATAGCTGTATAAAAGATAAATGAAGTTCCAAGTTTGATCAGTTTGATTTGAAGTAAGTCATTTTCCATGGCTTTATATTTCGATAATTTACCCATTTCATGTGAAACGTCAACTGTCACAGCAACGAATTCAAAATGACAATTCAACAACAACAAAAACGGGTTGTATGATGGCAAAGTGTATCACTTTCTTATGACCCTTTGGCCCATATTCGGGCCTATGTTTATTCGTTAGGACTCTGGGAAATTAGTTCCGCATCGCTAATTTCTTCTGAATTAACTATACTTATAAGGGAAGCAATTTTGTTGGCCTTACTTTTACGAGGGATTGAAAGATTGAAGTTTTTCCAAGTTTGTCCTAGATTTGCTTTCGCATTCTAAATTTACTCTCGAAATGTATTTCTCTTAATTTTTTTCTTCTGGAGGTTACATATTATTGTTAATTTTCCTGAAAGTTTCCGACTTATCTTTACTCGAACTTTTGTTCGCTAGTTTCCTGAAGTGATTTTTTTTAAAATCAGGTTTGATACTTTATCTATCCTTGGTGATTTATTATTTCTTGCTTTACAATTCCTTACTGGCGCAGATGCATTACACACTCATGAAAACAATGATTCAAATACATACAGTGACTAGTTTAAATCGTTTAAATGCAGTCAATCCAATTCTGTTCATGGCAAAAGATATTTCCATCAAACTTTTAAAACCTTCATTATGTTCTATACACATGCCTTAGGGGGGGGGGTGATTTCTAATGTCCATGCATTGAAGGTCATTATAAGGAGCAGGATTATCTCTCATTGAGAGCTTATGGAAACTCTTGTAAGTTTGCATGCAAAATAATAACTGTCACCTGGTATTCTCGTTTTACTCTAATAGAGACTCAAAATTTTATAAAAGAATAATTGAAAAGTTTTTTT